ATTGTCCAAACTGCTAGAAGAAATGATGCATTGATTTTCTGATAAATTGCCCCTTTTGAAATATTAATATTAAATGGGCCAAAAAATCCCATAAAAACTGCAGTTCCAGGAACCACCATGTAGTTCCAATATGATGCAAGTAATGTAGCATTTGCATTTTAAAGAAGAAATAGCTGATAAACAATGTAAAATACATTTCAAATCTTTGGCACATATGTCAGTTTATCTCTCTCCCTACTGCAGATGGAATTCTTTGTGGACTCCAAGGCTTCATTTTGCAAAATGTTCAACAATAGTTTCAAAATGGTTAAAAGCCTGTAAAGGTGATCTATGAGTACAATTGGGACCAGAGTTTGCTAAGCAAGGCGGTTGTTAAATGAATCACACCCAATTTCACATCCTTTTTTTGCCACCATTTTAAAGCAAATCACTGCAGTTGTTAAATAAATCATGCGGTTGTTAAACAAATCTGACATCCCCTGACTTTGCTTATCCAAAGCTAGCTCTGAATGCTGCAAATGGCAATCATGGGACTCCGGGATGCCGCAACCGTCATAAATATATGCTGGTTGCAAGAACCCGAATTTTGATCATATGGTCGTGACAATGCTGCAATAAGTGTAAGTGTGAGGCCCAGTTTGAGTCACCTTTTTCAGTGCTGTTGTAACTTCAAAGAGTAGCTAAATGAATGATTGTAAGTCAAGGACTACCTGTACAGCAGAATCTCTGCTGTACATCTATATTCAGTTAATCCTAGGACTCTCTGTTCTGATAGCTCAGTGGTCTCGAACCTATGGCACGGGTGCCAGAGGCGACACTCAGAGTCCTCTCCGTGGGCATGCGTGCTGCCGCTGCCAGCAGTTCATGCAGGTCCATTAGGCCACCACGGCGGCCCGAGGTGGGGCCAAGGTGCATCAGGTGCATGAGGGGAACAGGCTCCATGCGCAGGCCAAGGGCAAGATCTGCGAGGGGGCCAAGATGACTAGCAGTGACCTGCTCTCCAACCGCAAGCAAAAACAGATGGGACGGAGTAGGTGCGTCCAGCGGTCTGCATCATGTTTCTCCCCCCCTCCCCTACTCTGCCTGCTGCTGGAGGGCTGGCCTGGTATTGGCAGCATACTGTGGATCCCCAGAGTGCACCGGTTGAGGGGCCGGCAGACTGTGGCTAGTGACAAACACCATTGGCCCCCATGCGCTTGCTGGCCTCAGTGTGCAGGGGCTGATGGTGTCAGGCAGCAGCCGCCCCGGCCCCTGCCTCACCTTGCCTTGCCCTGCAGCAATGGCACCCCCACCCTGCCCCCTGCCTCACTCCATAGGATGAGCTTTCTGAGCCACCACCACACCCAGCAGAGACCTCCTGGATCTTCCCCAACCCTGCCCGGCACCCACAGGCTTCCCCACCATGAGCAACATCAAGGTGGCCACGCCCACCCTAGCCACGCCCACCCTGTCTGCTGTGACCACTGCAGTCACGCCCACCCAGTGGGCTATATCCAGTGGGCTATACCCCTCCCCCCTCAGGGCACCAGAATGTGATGTGGCCCTCGTACTTTGTGATAAATAAGTGGGTTTTGGGTTGCGGTTTGGGCACTCAGTCTCTAAAAGGTTCGCCATCACTGTGATAGCTGAAGAACTGGGGATAATATTGAAATAGTTGGGCAAGATTTGGTTTCCTTTTTTCTTAGGTTTGATTGGCGCTTCCTGCTTAATCTCTTCTCTGTGCCGCTCCTGCTAATTTTCTGGTTAGAAAAGGTCCAATTCTAAGATACCTTGTACAGGTGGTACTCTTTAAGCAAATACCTTGGATAGTAATTGATCCGCAGTTATGACAGTGGTGAAAAAGGAACTTTGCAGCCAATGTCTGCATTTACAACCTTTGTAGTCTCTCTCCCTCCCTCTTCCTGTGTGTGTGTGTGTGTGTGTGTGTGTGTGTGTGTGTTATATTTTCTCCAGCCAATAGGCATTGTCCTATTCCTGATCCTTTCCCCTCCCTCAACCCTTCACAGACTGGAGAGATTGCCTAAACAAACAAATCTCTTTTTGAGTTTTTTTTTCTGCAGCACTGCAAGTGCTAACTGCAAGTTAAGAGTCTTGGCTCTGTGACTTTAATGAGTTGATTAGAACCCTCCAAGCCTATTGGCAGCTGAGGGCAGCAGTTGACAAGATCCTAATCAGTTTCATAGTAAATAGTTTCTTTTGCCCCCTCATGTACCAGCCTGCTTAGGCAAGCAGCTGATAGTGTCACATTCTTTTCCATGTGTATCTCCAACTGTGTGTCTTGTAATCCTGTCTTTTCCAGTGAAAACAAATACAAACAATTCTCTTCTTGCTAATTATCTTAGCACTAGGGTGAGGATTCTAAAGGGCAGTGAGGGAAAAAACAAGATTTGCCCTTTTAGCTATCTTCTGCCTGCCTCAAGTTCAGAAACCTTCCTAGCTGTTTGGGTTCATTCAGATGGTTGGGATAGTATACTTCTGATGCTGTAAAACATAGGGAAAGCTGAAGGAGAATTGTAAGCACAGTCATAGTCATGTGATTTTCTACTTAACAATCAGTTCAGTTAATGACCAAATTGCTGGTCATATGTGCTAGCAAAAAGTCTTTGAGTTGCACCCACATATAAAACAAACATTATATAGGTAGTCCTAGACTTACAACAGTTCATTTAGTGACCATTTGAAGTTACAACAGCACTAAAAAGTGACTTACGACCATTTTTCACAATTATGACTGCTACAGCATCCCCGTGGTTACATGGTCAAAACTCAGGCTCATATTTATGACAGTTGCAGTGCCCTGGTGACATGTGGTGGCCTTTTGGGAATTTTTGACAACCAATGTCAATCGGGAAGCCTGATGGGAACTGTTGACAACCAATGTCAATGGGGAAGCCTGATTCACTTAACAACCATGTTATTAACTGAACAACTGCAGTGATTCACTTAACGACTATGTTGAGAAAGGTTTTAATATGGGGCAAGACTCACAAATGTCTCATTTAACAACATAAATTTTGGACTCAGTAGTGGTCATAGGACTACCTGTACTTTCAATGCTTGAGATGCTTCCTCTTCTTGGCTTCTGGGGAAGGAATGGCTAACTGAAAATGGCTATGAGAAAAATGGAACTGACAACTGCAGGTGAATAAAGAGCCAGACAAGTAGACTGGCTTTTTGATAATTCCTCTCTGGACAAAGAGAGGACTTGAGATCACTCACAAGTGCTTCAGGCAGCTGCTCCTCATGAGGTGACTGCAAGACAGTTGTCTCTGGTGGATTTAGAACTTTGGGAGATGAGGGAGTAGCCATCTTGCTCCAACTGTGGTGTTGCCTTTGAAAGGGCACTAAGTTCACATATTTCACAATAATCACTTTACCTAATCACTTTCACAAACTGCTTATTAATTGCTTTTCAGCTATTAGGAATCTTTGGATCAACTGGGTGAATTTCCTTCTGTCCTTACTGAAAGTAATTTTAATTTCAAGTTTAAGAACTTAATTTGTTTTTGAATAAACAGCTAAATAGTGATTAAAACTTTGTTTTTAGAAAGTTACAAATGGACTAAGTGTCCAGAAATAAGATTTTGGAATTAATTAGAAAGAATCTTTTCTGTAGGAAAATGCTTTTATTTTGATTTTTTTAAAAACAAGATTTTAAAAATCGGATGATAGAAGAAACTAAAAAGATTACAATTAAAGGAAAAAAAAACACTCAAACATGACTTATAATTACAAAATGAAGCAAAATATTCTAACATTGGACATATTGAATATCTTTGAAGAGTGGTCCCAGAAGTTAATTTTAATAGTGCCTGACTCTGTAGATAGATTATGTCTAAAAGGTTATGTCTAAAAGGGGAACAAGTTCTACTTGACAAGATTGAGACTGCATTGAAAATGTATTTAAAAATGACTGCAAGAATGACATGGAAAAATGTTACACTGGACATACAAAATAAATCGGCTGATGTCTTAAATTTAATTAATTCTTAATTAATTAAAAAGAACATAGAAACAACAAAAAGAGTGACCTGGATAATTTTCTTGTATTAGATTTACAAAAGCTATTTGGTGAAACTTTGAAGAATTTTGTAGGAAGGGACAAAAAAATGAAAAGAAATCAACATTATTTGAAGGAAGTAAAAATCAAGATTATTAGCAAAAAAAGGGGAAATAAAGTTGGTTTATTTGATTAAGGCCAAATAGGTATATTATCTCTGGTGACCCTTGCTGGATTGCTTTGCTGACATCAGGTCCGAAATGAGGGAGATTTTACAGATTTTTTTTTAAATAGATAAGAGATGGGTTATGGGAAAAATAGATCATTTGTTGCATTTTAAGAGAAGGTAATAAGTTACTAAAATTGTTTACACTTGTGAAGAAGATGAAAATGGGAAATCACTTTTTTATATATGTTATTTTTCTTTACTATGTTTTAATTTTTTTGTTTCCTCTTTCTCTTTTTCCTTTTCTGCTCTTTTTACCATTTCTTTTAGTTTTTTTAAACTTTGTATGAGTTATTAGTGTTGTAATTATAATTCTTAATAACATTACCATATAAAAAAGATTTCTGTTTTTCCAGAATCCTCATTTCACAAAGGGGAAAACTTCCACTATGGACCCTTTCCCTAAAATAATTAAGTAAAAGTCCATGTTACTCATTTATTGGCAGTTACTATTAGGAGCTGGAATTTTGGTAATGAAAATTAGAGAAGCAATTAGTGTATTGGTTATTAATGCCAATACACAGTTTATCTAAATACCTAATCTGCGGCATCAAGTTTTCTAGAGGAAAAGAAGCAGTGATTGTTCAGAAGTAATTGCATAATCTTTCACATTTAGGTAATTTATTTCTCATTTCTGAACAAGCTGTTCTCTGACTACACTGGTATTATAGCAGAAGAAACAGACACACACAGAGAGAAACCCATTTAAATGCATAAGAAGCATTAGAAATACCTTGGTTAAATGCTCATAGGCTTTTTTCCACCCACAAACAGATATCGGTATATTGGCAAAGCAGCACCTTGAGAAAGGTCTTTTGGTACCAGATCATGTAATTACACGCGTAATGATGACAGAACTGGAGAAAATGCAAACTCAGCCTTGGTTACTGGATGGTAAGTGATTATCTTATTTTTATTTTTAAGGTTAAAACACCAAAAATCCTTTTTTCTGCAACAAATCCTTAAACATTTTAGTTAAATATATACTCTTATCATATAGTGCCAATAGTTGATACTGCGTTGTACCAGAATTAGACCGAACCAATATTTTTAGTAGCTGGTAATAAAATAGACAAATAAAAACATATTGAGAGCATCTAGGAACAGAAGATTCTTAGTTTGATTTTTGACAAATATTTATTCATCTGTTGCTGTAGATAATTATATACTTATAAATTCTGTTTTGAATATTTATTTGCCTCAATCAAATTGACTTTAAGAGGCATTTTACAATGCTGTGTAAAATAATAGAGCAAAAAGAGAATAATGCAATACAATCATAACCAAAAGATATCAAGCTCTTCTCTGTTTTTAGGACAGGTATTATAACAACATTCCTTTCTGAAATCTTTTTGGAAAAAAAAACATGTCTTTATCAGGTGTCTAAACACCAGAGAAGACACCAGTTGTGCCTCTTTGGATAAGCTATTCCATATCAATCCCCCTTCTCCAAAAATGCTTGTTTCCAAGTGCCTTCTCTGAAATTTCTGTTAGGTGGGGACCATCAACATGTCCTCTGTGATAGAATATATTGGATAGGGAGTTTTCATTTGGAATGTTGAGGTATGGTTTCTGTCCCATGCTTGGATCTCACCTGAACTGACGAGACTATGTAATCATCTCCTTCAAAGGTCGTTTGCAGTTGTCACCTCCAATCTTCTCCAACATCTTCCCCCAAAATGGAAGTTGTAATTGTGGTTGCAAAACACAACCTTTTGGCTTCTTCTTCTTTTAAATTAATTTAGTTAGATTTGTCTTCAACTTTTAGGAGTTTAAGGGAATGTATTTTTCTCTATTACAGTGACCCTTAATGAGATAGATTCAAAAAAAGTACCTAGCCCAAACTTACCCAGTGAGTTTCCAATCCTGAAGGTAGATTCCCTACTTCTAAACCAGTGGTTCTCCGACTAGATCCTGAGATCAAACATTATGATCTTGAGACCTACTTGTGGATGATGATTGAGGACTCCAAAGTGCTTTGGTTTATGTGGGCTGCATCTATTGATTTTTTACTCTATTATAAATTAAAGCTGAGAAATTTTTAAATATTTGATTTTCTGGACTCTCTAAAAGAGTCTCAGGGACACCCAATTGCCCCCAGACCATATTTTGAAAACCACTGTTCTGGATCTTAACCACTAAATCATGTTAGCTGTTTTCTCTTCCACCCAGAAGTGGTATATCAATATCTTGTTTATCCCCAATGCTTGGGAATGTGACTACCGTAAGCTGTCAGATTCCTTGATCTGCCTTCTGTAACATGAAACAGTGCGCCCTTCATGTGTTCCTAGAGCGTGACAAGCAGCAACTGGTAGGTGGGAGGAGGGAACAGAGCCAAGATACATTGCTTATAATGATATCATTTTATGTTGTCAACATTATTAGTGATAGCTCACTTTGGCTAATTTGCATCTTGAATTTTAAAAGGAGAAACCTCACCCATTTTCTTTTTAAAAAACAACAACACAGCTTTATTTGACTATAGATAATTTGAAGCTTCAACAAATTACTGTAGAGAAATTAGACAAACTTAATTGCAGAATCTTGATTCTGTCTTTATTTTAAAAAAATTCTTAAAAAAAATGGAATAAATTTATTTTTGAAGAGTAGTATTGGCCCATGTATAGAATAGAAGCTACTTTAAATAAAAAAACGTAAGTTGCTGTCTCAGGTTACCTAAACCAATTAAAAATGAGAGCTCCTGGTGTCTTAATGGGAAGATTCCTTCCATATATATTTAGACAAAGGGCGTAAGAGCCATTTGTTATGTAGAAAGAAAAGCTTCAAAGGCATATGAACCAGATTCTCTTTCGATTTAGTCAAATGAGCTGATGTAATGCTAATTCATTCTTAAACTGCAAGCCCTCATATCACTTAAAAATATTAATCAGAGGCTATCTGGTACTGTTAAAGCAGTGTTTCTCAACCTTGACAATTTTAAGGCATGTGGACTTCAACTCCCAGAATTCCACAGCCAGCATTGCTGGCTGTGGAATTCTGGGAGTTGAAGTCCACATGCCTTAAAATTGTCAAGGTTGAGAAACACTGTGTTAAAGAAATCTGTGCACTCTTTAACTAAGCCATGGGTAATAATGGCTTCAGGTCACGGTTTTGGGGAGATAGTTGATTTTTTTTCATATTGTGAAAGACAGTAGAAATGGCCATGTGAAGCCCAGGATAATTAATGGAAAATGGGGAGAATTGTAAGCAAGAGAGAGGTTTCTTTAGCTGCCCTAAAGAAATAATTTTAAAAATATTAGCTGAGATCTGGAAACAGTCAGGTATCCAAGTAAGAGTTGGTTCTCGAGTCAGTTTCAAACTAATATCAGCTGATGAAATGATGCTTCTATCCAAGTGGCTTATAACTGAGAGACAGCTCTGAGCCTGAATATGTTTTGTGCATGCTTATGGTTAATTAATAGTTACCTTTCCCCCTTTTTAAAAATTAGAATACAGATCTGGGGCACTTACTTATTTTATTTAAAGCATTTACATAGCCACCCATTTTCCAACCAACTCTGAGTAGCTCCCAATCATAAGTTAAAACAACATATAAAGTCAAATGAAAATTATAAATCTTAAGCAGATTGAAATAAAACGTTAAAAACAACGGTTGACTTGAAACACACTATCATCAGTGAAATACTGTAGCTGATGGAACAGGAAATGTTCCCATGTTGCCCTCTTGCTATATAATGAAACCAGTGTAGGTTTGAGGTCCTGGGAACCGATGTATATGGCTTGCAGCATTTTTGTGAAAGAAGGTGTTGTTCTCTTATGAATGACTTAGATTAATACATGATTTCCCTATATAGCAATTCACACTGTTTTAAGAAAAGGCATAAATGAGTCAAACGTGCTGGTGGAAAAAGAAAGCTGTGTGTATTTATAGGAGAAAAAGGAAAATATGTTTATTTTGTTTCATGTTTTCTTGCCATCTTGGTTCTTTCAATAGTTGCCTCCTTTATGCATAGGTAGACAAATGGGCCATTTTACACAGATAAGAAAAGGCAAAGCTTTTGGATGCATCCTCTAAAATATTTGGATGTTCTAGAACTCAAAGATGTCACTAAATTTAACTTAAAATATTAGCCAGTATAAGATTACAACCTTTGAATTTATGCAACACATTTGCTTGACTGAATGCAAACCGTAAGTTACTTTCGCCTTTTTCTGAAGAATAAAGAGCCTAATGCAATTGACTATTTTTAGGGAGGTGTCATTGTAAATAGTTAACTGCTTGGCCACTGTGATAAATTTGTAAAGCACATGTAGTCAGAATTGCTCAGATTGCACTGCAACATTCACCCTGGCTATTCCCTCCCTCCCCTCACCTGGTCCCCTTAGGCACTAAGCCTTAGATACTCGCCTTGTGAAGATTGAGATCCTTCGCTTTCTTGGCTGCTCCAGGCCTTCCATGGGTTCGCAGAAAATGGAGACCTAAAGTAATGCAAGATCATGTGATCTCACGGTACTTTAAGCCTCTGTTCTCTGCAACAGAGAACAGAACTAAAGCTGGGAGAGGCTTCCACGTGCCTCCAGAGGCCCGATCCGGGAATGGGAGGCTTTTTTGTGCTGCTGCCACGCGGAAAGGAGGCAAGGGGATGGTTCCGTGGACCTTCGGAGGTCCGTTCTGAGCCTCAGAGGCTTCCTAGAGTCCTCCGAGGCCCAGAACAGAGGATGGGGGGGGGCTTTTGCATGCCTCCAGAGGTCCGTTTTGGGCCTCTGAGGCATTCTCCAGGCCTCTGAGGCCCAGAAGGGAGGCCATGGGCAGCAGCCACATGCTTCCGGAGGTCCATTCTGGGCCTCGGAGGTCTCCCTCTGCTCTTGCCAGGAGCAGAGAAAGAAACAGGCTGGAGAAGAAACAGATCTTCACAAGTTAAGTGACTCAGCACAGCAGGATTGGGCAGGGGAGCAATTGTGAGGATCTCAGGGGAGGGAGTATGAGATACCTCAGTGCGGAGGGCTTGGGTATTCTGAAGCAGATGGCCTGTTCCATCACTAGCCCCCCCCCCGTGGCCTTCCCCACCCTGAGATACCTCATGTTCACTTAACGAGTTGCACATTCCCCCACATTTTAAATTTGCAGTTCGTTCAGTACATTTGTAATTTGAGGAGTACCTATACTAATTTAAGGCTATTAAATATTGGGTTTTTGTTAACATTCTGAGCTCATTCTGCAATTTATTATTTTTACTTCACTTTTTCCATTTAGGTTTTCCAAGGACATTGGGTCAAGCTGAGGCACTTGACAGGATATGTGAACTGGATCTAGTGATAAGTTTGAATATTCCATTTGAGACTCTTAAAGACCGACTTAGTGCTCGTTGGATTCACCCAGCAAGTGGCAGAGTATATAATATGGAATTCAATCCACCTCAAATCCATGTAAGATAATGAACTATGATTTGATAAGAGGAAGGGTAGGCAGTCAGATAATTCAGTATCCTATGCCTTGTATTTTCTAGATAGGCTTACACTGACAGGTTTACATGTTTAGATTACATAAATGAAAGAGGAACAAAAACAGTGGGAATCTCAACTGGGGGAGGGAGGCAGGGCAGGGGGAATAAGTAGGGCCAGCTGAATGTCCAGCTCTCTCTAGAAATGATTTTGAAATACAGGTAGTCCTTTATTTAATGACTGTTCTGTTTAGCAACCATTTGAAGTTAGCAAGGTACTTAAAAATAATTTCATGACAGGCCCACACACTTATGACCATCATAGCATCCCTCACGTGACCGTGATTTGGGCGCTTATCAAGCAGTATGCATTTATAATTGTCACAGCATCCCATAGTCACATGGTTGCCATTTTTTATGCTTCAGATCTGGCAACTGATAAGCAGTGTTAATGGACTGGCCAGCAATACTATAAAATCACAAGTTGTGGTCACACGATGTCTTAATGTCCATGGATGATTTGTTTAATGATCACTGATGTCTCATGTAACCCATGTTATTTAGTGATGGAGTTGCCAGTAAGTTAAGCAAGGACGATCTGTACTACTTAATGATTATCTGGCAATATGCTGCTGACTTCTATTAAACAAACAAACAGCCTTTGATCAAAGGCCCTTAGATCACAAGAGACACAGATCATCCTAGTAATGGGAAAGAGACCTCAGACTTCAGCAGCAGTTTAGGGGGAGTACTGACTGCCACAGCCTGCTGATGGGTTAACAGAATTTATCAGTGCACCCACGGATGGTTAGCTCCTAAAGACTGCCTTATGTGACTACACTGTTGATTTCAGCGGACTGCTCCAGAACTGTCTTTACCCAAATCACACAAGTCAGCTAAATATTAACTCTAACATTGGAAGGGGTTTGTATCTTTGTATATATTTTCTAAACAGCTTGCACTGGGTAGAGTTAAAAAGAGATTCCACAATTTACATTCTAGAACAGTGGTTCTCAACCTGTGGGTCGGGACCCCATTTGGGGTCGAACGACCATTTCACGGGGGTCGCCATACAAGGCTGTCTGCCATGTTTTCCCCCTTTTCTTAGGCCACGCCCCTGGCATCCGGTGATGTATAAGTGGTTGGGGGTCACCACAACATGGGAAACTGTATTATGGGGTCGCGGCGTTAGAAAGGTTGAGAACCACTGTTCTAGAATATCTCTATACATGTCATCCCCATAGACTCAAGTGTAGAAAAAGGGTAAAATTTCAGTCAGAAATATAGGGAATTGTGACCTTCAGATTTGGGGAGATGAGCTATTAATCTTATTGCAGCCTAGTGAATGGTGCAAATTAGGAAGTGTGTCTTTTTTGTCTCTCGAGAGGTAAAGACCAGTGGGAACAAACTAAGACTGTTCGGCAATGGAAAGAAATAGAAATTTTTCAACTGACAGGCATTTAAAACTTACAGTTTCCCATACAGTGTAATTCATACCATATTTTAAACAGGGTATTGATGACATTACTGGTGAACCATTAATCCAACGGGAAGATGATAAACCTGAAGCTGTTGCTGCTAGACTAAGAAAATACAAAGATGCTGCAAAGCCTGTAATGGAATTGTACAAGTGAGTTGGAATCCAAACAACATACAATTTTTTTTAAAATAATACAAGAAAAGACATGGAGTGTGTCAATAGATTTTTATTTTTTTAAATAATATTTTATTAAAATTTAAAGATACAGAAATAAAAAACTAATATAAGCTAAGAAACACATAGAAGTAAAATTAAAAGTTCAGAAAGAATAGTTTTTGTTAGAAAAATAAATAGTACCGTCCCCAATTAAAGAAGAAAAAGGAAAAAAGATATATAAAAATGATTTCTCCCTTAAGAATAATCTCTATGTTTCTCTCTGCTGTGGACATACTTCAAATATATATATATAAGAAAGCAATAGTTGGTATGGTTTATTAGTGTCTGCATTAATTGCAAAATATGACAATCTAGATAGGTTTTAAAAAATACTTTGTATTGCAATATACAAATTATTTTTTATGTTTAAAACTAGATAGGTTTTAAAAAATACTTTGTATTGCAATATACAAATTATTTTTTATGTTTAAAACTAGATAGGTTTTAAAAAATACTTTGTATTGCAATATACAAATTATTTTTTATGTTTAAAACTAGATCACGGGATACAGTACAAATAATTTTGGATAACAGAAACTTTACTGAATAATATTTTCCCTTCATTCTGTTATTCTACATCAATTGACATATAAATATATGCCCAGATGGAAAATAGTTTCATACTGAAGCATCTCATTAGAAAGGTCCTTTATTTTCTTTGTTCAGTTACAAACATGTTATCTCATTCACAACCTAGAAGACCTCTGGGAATACAGTTAATGGCTTAATCATGATTACACAGTTTGTATTCAACAGTTGTTAAAAGACTTACATAATTAATACAGCTGAAATGAGAATTAGCAGTTGATCATTAAAGTATGTTTCAATAGATTCTATAATGCGGTCTTGTGCTAATTGAAGTATTTAAATAAAAGATTAAATTAATGCAGTTTTAAGATTCTGGATTTAATGGTCCCATGTCCCCTTTTTTACAATGTAATGTATATTACCACATTTTCAAAGTAGTTGAATAAAAATTGATGTGTTTCACGGTCCTCCTTCTGATAGATTGAGATTGATCCTAGATGTCTATTCTCACATCCTACTATATAGGTATTGCTGCTTTAAAATGGTGTAAATAGAGCAAGATATTTTTTTATAATGATCTAGTTAAGTGCCTGAAAAGATGAAGGAAACATGAATTAATAGTTTAGTGTGTAGTATCTTTTTTATTACCTATTTTTTTGTTTTGTAAAAAATATTTAAATTTACAACACAAACTTATATGTAAAGTTCAAAATGGCATGTTTCATAAAAGAAAAAAAATCTAACAAAAAGAAATAAAAAAAAACAAAAAATAAGAGTGTGAGATATGTCTACTTGTCCAATATTAAAAAAATACGAATTTATTCAAATCATTACTATTCATATTTTAAACACTAAGCTAAACATGAATAATAAAATCATATTGTCAGAACTTGATTGTCTACTGAAACAAAACTAATTGCAAATCAGAGTTGACCAATACAATAGTTTTATATGTTAATGTTTAATATAAACCCATACTGCATCTTACTTATGATTTTATACTTTGGCTTGTAATTTAAAGCTCAGACATTTCTCACAATGCGTAGACTGCATTTCTATTATAAAGGGATTGCATGTAGTTTTATCATTGCTATTTTATGACCAGAGTAAGGTGCCACTATATTTTCAGTTGGTTACATGGTGGAGAAGGCTAAAGAATGCAACAAAGGGGCAAGTCAAAATGGATGAGATACCTTTTACTGATGCATCTTCTTTTCTAACAGTTATTCTCATTCTGTTTTTGATGGTTTCTCAGTCTGAAAGCATCAAGCTGCAGGAAAAGGACCTGTTTTTAACAACATCCTGAGAGAGTGTGGTCGTAGGCTTAGATCAGTGGTTCTCAACCTGTGGGTCAGGACCCCATTTGGGGTCGAACAACCATTTCATGGGGGTCGCCAAACAATGCAATCCGCCATTTTTTCCCCCTTTTCCTTAGCTGTGCTACTCCCTTTTGAATAGAGTCTATTGGCTTTCAAAAGCCAATAGGAATTGTCCAGGCTGTCTCTGCCCTGCTGAGCCCGCCAAAAGTCCCATTCTGCAAACGGGGCTGCACCAGTTGAGTAGTCCTCGACTTACGACCGGTTGAATAGTCCTCGACTATTCGTAACCAGTTGGGGGTCGCGGCATTAAAAAGGTTGAGAACCACTGGCTTAGATATATTTCATATGCAGGAGATATAACCTGCATATGAAATGAAGTAAAGGAAAAAAGATGTTACAATTACTACATATTAAAACAAAACATGTTTGGTTGACCAATTGATAAAAAAGTATTTATGTATATTCTAGTTTTTCTGTTTATTTAGAAAAGTAAATTGCAATTTGGTTATTACAGTGAGGGAAAAAATTATTTGATCCCCTGCTGATTTTTATAACTTTTTTGAAATGTGTTTTTCCGGATTTTTTTTGTTGTTACTCTGTTTCTCACTATTAAGCCTACCGTTAAAATTATAGACGGATCATTTCTTTGTCAGTGGGCAAACTTACAAAATCAGCAGGGGATCAAATAATTTTTTCCATCACTGTAAATAAATGTCCTTTTAATAAGCCTTTTTATTGGCATTCTATTCATATCTACAATTCCTGGAATTCAGAACAAGTTGCCTAAAGTCATAAATAAAATTACTTATCAGTAAAGGTATGCACACTGACAAATGTAAAACAGACAGCCCTGATTTATATTGTTACCTAATTCTTTTGGCTTTTACTAAAGAACACAGTAGAACCTGCAATACTGGTTTCCTTACAATTATTTATTTGCTCACAAAATGTCTAATCTCTATTTCAGAAACAGAGGAATTCTACACTCATTCTCTGGGACAGAGACCAACAAAATCTGGCCTTATGTTTATACTTTGGTGTCTAACAAGATTCCTCCAATCCAAGCAGAAGAAGCTAACTAAGCATCTGTAAAACGGGAATAAGAATTTTATGTTGTCGATTTTGGTCTTGTTTATCACGTGCTGTATCTGTCCTCTACTCTTTTTTAAAGAGTAGCTGTTCTCTCTGATTCTACTGGAGAACAGTTGTGGAACTCCATCTTTCAATGATTACTCTGTATGGGAATTCTACTTCTTGCCATATAAATACTTGTGCATGGACTTCAAATAATTGTAATTGATATGCAGAGACGGTTATCCCTGAACAGTTCTGTAGAATCCATTGTTCAGTCTCTCCAGCTACTTATAGATCTTTGAACTTAGTGTGCATTTTCATGGATCCTTAATCTAACACTCCATTTACATGGAAACACTATTCTAGGTGTATCTTCAATGCGGTAAGCACTGTGGAAAAGACATGCAGTATGCAGGTCAAATGTATCTTTTGAGTACTTAAAAAACTGAGAAGAATCAAGGTGAATTCAATCTCTTGGTTTGCTAAGAAGACAACCTTAGATAAATATCTGTTATAAAATGCTGCTGTAAAATAAAATTAGACTTTTAAATTTGAGTGGCTTTAGGCCTTTCTTTGTTAAAGAGCAGGCCTGTTCTGATTCTAAGAACAGTTACACTACATGGTTAATAGTTTTAAAGCTTTGATTTTATAATATAATACAACCAGTCACTAAAAGTACAGTATCTCAATTTTTTGCTCCGGTAAATTTGTCCCAATTAGCCACCAACCAGGCAAATGATTATGTGGGCAAACATAAGTCAGACCCAGTCTGTTGTTGATGTAATAAGTAGCAAAGATCCATTGCTGTAGACGTGGCAAAATATATATTTGCAATTATATGTCTGCATTTTAGAATTTTCCAGGTAACTCTTAAAGCTTGGTCATGTGCAAAAAATGTGTATCAAGAGTATGATTTAGTAACAAGAAGGAAGACCTCTGACTTTATTGCCTATATTTCCAGCATCCTCTTCTTTTCCTTACTAAATGTTTCTTCAGTATCTGACTGAGGCTGCAGGTAAGAGAAAGCTTTGGATAAATAAAAACAGATCTATCTACTGCAAACCCATTCCTTAATATTCACTCTGCTTTTATAATGTTGTTCTTTGAGTTTATATGCTGTGAATGGTGCAGTTAATGTGAGTATTGACCATATTCCTGTCAGCTGATTTTAAATAAACAGCTGAATAGATATATTTAACTTTTGGTATGTTTGTTTAAAATTACCTTTTCTCAAGGGATCAATTGCTACTCTGCAATGAATATGAAAAAAACTGAGGCTCTGCTGTAGGAATCTCTACAGACTTTGTAGAATTCAACATTGTTTTTTGATAGATGGTGCTAATGGTCCTTGGGAGAGTTGTCCTAATAAGGTCTATAGGATATGTAAAAACAACATAACTTTGCTAAATTGTTGCAAGTTGCCTTATTTTATACAGCAGAAAAGGGATGAGGTGAGGTGGAAATCCATTTAAATAAATTAACCTTTTACAGAATTATTTTCTCTTGATGCTTTTGATATCAAAATTATGCTTTTTGACAGAATAGAATTAACTTCCACATATAACAAAGTAGAACAAAAGCTCTAATTCCTCTAATTAAGATTTGAGCTTAATATCATTTTTTTTCTGCAATGCTACAAACACACATTATACATTAGCTGATAGTTGAGGGGGAAATGGCAATTGCAATTAATATTTTCAAAATTGAATTGGCAAAGCTCTAATGTTAATATAGTACATTTCAAATTGTTGACTATTATTAAGGAATCAAGAAGTTTGTATAGTTATTTAACCTTCTGCATAAAGTTATGCTACTACACAGTTCATTTTTGATCTGAACTGAATCACATAAGCATATTTTTAAGTACACTTACAAGTCTTCCATGATTGGGAAACTTGTTCTATCTATGTCAGTGTAGCATCCATCTAATAGGCCTACTAGAGCTTAGTTGCAATAATTACATGATCACTAGATATCAGCAGATGAAGAAAAATTACAACTCCTACTTGCCTTATAGAAGTAATACAGATTTTTGAGCCTAGATCTGGTAGCCTTTCCTATGAAGATCTTCATGTTGGCTTAGTAATGATATACCACTCATTTTAAAGAACATACATTACTATATTATATAAAACAATAAAAGGAAATTGGTTTTCATTTTTGTAAGAAATTTATTTTTACACAAAGGATTAAGAGGAAAAACCAGGCTGCTGTCCTATGTCCATACTTGCCCAGGATCAAGTTTTCTTGAACTCTGTGGATCTCATAAATCAGGGGTGTCAAACTTGCAACATCGTGTGACGTATCGTGATGTATCGTGACATTTTTTCCATTGCTGGCAATGAGATGGGCGCGGTTTCGCCATGACGTATCCGGCCTGCGGGCTGGCAGTTTGACACCCCTTTCATAAATTATTATGCATGGTATTGTCCACTTGCCTTTTTAAAATGTGCACACAGATATCGTTACAAATACACTATTTTGTTACTTGTTAATATTTGATTTAAAGAACTACTCCAGCAGTTATGTGTGAGTATGCAAATACAAGCTCGTTATTCACTATTGCATTCATTGTTTTCATAGAGCAGTTGAAATAGAAGCCAAAACATTTAAGAGCCCTTGCATCACAGTAGAGTATTCTCAAACATTTAAATCATGAAGCTTGTGCTCATAACACAGTGTGGATGAAGTCCACAAGAGTCATGTATATGTCAAGCTTGTAGTATGATCTATTTCAAAAGCAAACTCTTGCTTTTGGCTGATAGCTACTTCAGCATATCACTGCAGCCATCGTACTTTGATTTATTACTGCCATTTAACTCTCAAGCATACTGTTGAATTTTTACCTATTTTAATACCTTGAACCTTTAAAAAACATTGCCTTTTTAGTCTATGCTGCATTGCCATTTACTCTCATTTTTTAAATGATGTATAAGCATTTATATGAAGCAATGGTTGTTGTCATGTTATTACAGAAACCAGCCCAAGATTTTTACTTTGTAATGAAAAATAGACTGCAGTCTGTTTACTAGTTATATATGTTACTAGTTTACAAATTAGTTGTTTGCAGTGCTTCAGTGACTTTGACAATTCATTAATTGAAGATTCCATATATGTAGGTGCAACCCATCAACTGGATTTTAGCATGACTGGTTTTAGAACTTCTTGAAGAAACAAATTACCCACCACAGTATATATTTGGAAATATAACTTTTCAAAGGTATTTTGGCATTCTTTTAAAAGACCTTGAATCATTTCCACTAAATCCCATTAACTCTCACTATTGGTACTTCAGGGAGTTATTTCTGTGATGCCATCAATAAGTTGAATTCAAAGCATCACCCTTTTTGCAGTTTTATAAAGTTTAGAACCTTCAATGTAAACAGCATACTTAAAAGGAAAAGGAAACCCTGTTAAATATTATGTATACATTAACTGTTTTGAAGATAACAAGGTATTGGCTATTCTTTGTTTTTATGACTATTATGATGCACATCACCCAGAATCGCTTGTTGAGATGGGCAGCTATAGAAATCAAATCAATAAAATAATAAACAAGATATGTTTGTTGCAGCTTTTCACTGTAGAAGGAAGATTCATTTCCTCTTAAACTACTCCTGCTCAATGTCTAGTGCAGTGATGGCGAACCTTTTAGAGACCGAGTGCCCAAACTGCAACCCAAAACCCACTTATGCATCGTCGGGTGCCAGGTGGGTGTGGCCCATTGGGTGGGCGTGGCTGCGGTGGTAATAGCAGACTGGGTGGGACTAAAAAGTTCAATCAATCAATTCCAACTTTGCAAGATCTTTTTTTTCCACGAGAAGTTGAAATTGATTGATTGAACCTTTTTTTTTTTTTTTGTACACGGCAGCAGAGACCTAAAGCGAAAAGGTTTTATAAAACCCAGCTGAAGGCCTAGGACTGGGGCGATGGTGTGTGTGCCACAGAGGGGGCTCTGAGTGCTGCCTCTGGCACCCGTGCCATATGTTCACCATCACTGGTCTAGTGTAACCAAGGGATAAATGATAAGTGTAGTGTAGACTTCAGTGACAGTTTCTGGAGACAGCTCTCTTTGTTGGTTTCCGTGATGGGTTTATACATTGCATTAAATCAAGATATAAAGGCCTGGTTCAAATGTCACCAACTCGAAAGTCTGAGTGGGTGAATATCTTAGCCCCAAGTAAGCATTTGGTCTAGCTTTCTACTCTACCCATATTTTTTTTTCTGCTTGGTGTCTAATTAGTGTCAGTCTGTTATGAGCAGGGACCTTAAATATAGGGCTGGTTATGCACATTTTTCTGTGCTCCAAGCACATAATGAAAATAGCAGATAATACCAGATTTGTGATTTTCTGAAGAAAGGGTGGACACAGTTCTGATCTTAGGTGGACTATTAATTTGAACCAATTCTATATTTCCATCCATTGCCATTCCGTATATCGTATTAGCTTGAAGAAAAATCTTCGAAAGAGACTTGCAAAATGATAAAATAAATTTCATTTGGAAGAATGAAATAGGGAAGTCCAGTACATATATCACTGGCCTTGGTTAATCTTGAAAAGCTAACTAGAATCTGACCTGTTTAATGGTTGGAAAGGAGATCACCATGATATAGCTGTAGGTTAGTTTGGGAAGTTGGAAAAGCCTGCTGAAAGATACTAATAGTAAACATCTATCTTCCAAGCAAAGTACATGGATATTCCATCAAGTCATCCATTATTGATTTCCCCTGAAGGGAAACATTTACACTTAGATATTGGAGGAGAATGAAAGCAGTCTTTTGACGGTAGTTTATAAGTTTTAGAATGTTGACTTGTAAAAGTTATAGGAATGAATCCACCCCAAAATTCATATTTATGGCAAAGGGGTAATCTATGAACACATTATATCGCTCTATGAATCTTCTGCAAGTGTGTGGATTTAAGCGCATCAAAACACGTTACAGGATTAAAATACCTAGTAGGCTCTGAATTGTACACATTCATTCCATATATGAAATATTCAGATGCTACTGTCTTCTTGTGATACCTTTCCCCCCCCAAATTATTATCCTCTGTAATTTATCATCATTTTCACCTCACAATGTCAGCACCTTACTGTGAATCGGATGTGTTTTCTAAACTCGGCAATTGTTATATAATGACTGTATAATGATATTATATTGGAACTTAGGTGTTCTTTGGTTAAACAAGTGTTGTAATCAATTTTTGTCTAGAATAACATCACGGGAGATGCAGTTTAGTTTTGCGTTGCATAGTCTTCTCTCCCCTCCCTCCAAATATTCCATATAGTCACTGTATTAGCATTTGTTGTATGTTAATAAATTATCTTTAATTTAGTCCATGCTGTGAGAAGTGTGTATTGTGTAGATAAGATAAAGGTTTCACCTGTCTAGTTGTGTCCGACTCCTAACGGGCAATGCTCATCATCTTTTTCTAGCTAAGGGAGCCAGCTTTGTCCAAAGATGCTTCTGTGGCCATGTGGCCGGCATGACTATATGCCGAGGCCCACAGAATGCTGTTACCTTCCCATCTAAGTGGTATCTATTTACTTGGATTTGCATGCTTTCGAGCTATTAGGTTGCAGGAGCTGGGGCAAGAATGGGAGCTCACTGCATCAGGCAGTATTTGAGTGTTGAACTGCCAACCTTCCAGTTGATAATCCGAGTGTCTTAACCGCTAGGCCACCACGCTCCTATTATGTGGATAGATGAGTGTAATAAAAACAGGCAATGTGATTCCTGTATGCATAGATTATACCTGCAGACCTTTGTTTGACAATTGGCCAGTTCTGTCCCTGACTTAAGTTTCAATTTTGATTCAGTTTTTCTAACTAAAAAAACCTTGGTGTGCTTCACCTCAAACACTGTTTGTTTATAAGAATGCCTCTTGACATTATGTTA